GAAATATTAGGTAGTGTTATGTAAATTGAAAAAAAAAAATGTATTATGAAAGTATTTTTATACTGCACAAATTATTTCCTACCTGGAAATTGCAATTACAATGCTTATACAAGCTTAAAACAACAGTTACTACCAGTAATACAGATTGTTTAGCATGAAGATGGTAGATGTGTGAGAAATGGTCTTTGAATGTTGTATTGAGGAGCAAAGGAGGGATTATTCAGATGGTTTGGGGATTTAACAAGGATGGAACAAAATAGATTTACCAGGAGGGTGTATAAATCTAGAGTAGATGGAAGGTGGTGCTGGGGATGTTTCAGGAATGATTGGAAAGATGGTATGAAGGTTTAGAGAGGTAGGGGGTTTGAGTATCAATCTAGCATGTGTGCGTGTTATATTAAAATGAGTGCAGGAGTGTTTTTTAATTTGTCATACTGGTAATGGTGTATTATATTTATAAGGGGATATGGAAACATTGATTAGGTGGCCTTAAAATCTAGAAATGGGAAGTGCTTTATCTACACACTGAAGGGTGGGTGGGGAAATTGCATTCTAGAGAGTCATTATAATTGTGATGTCTGCACTTATGGCAAGACAGCTATTGATTGAATGATGGTGAATTCATGTCCTTCTTAGATTATCCTTCCTTTGGTAGATATGGCCATTCTCTCTCTCTCTATCTCTCTCTCTCTCTCTCTCTCTCTCTCTCTCTCTCTCTCTCTCTCTCTCTCTCTCTCTCTCTCTCTCTCTCTCTCTCTCTCTCTCTCTCTCTCTCTCTCTCTATCTCTCTCTATCCTCTCTTCTCTCTCTCTCTCTCTCATCTCTCTCTCTCTCTCTCTCTCTCTCTCTCTCTCTCTCTCTCTCTCTCTCTCTCTTCTCTCTCTCTCTCTCTCTATCTCTCTCTTCTCTATCTCTCTCTATCTCTCTCTATCTCTATCTCTATCTCTCTCTATCTCTCTCTATCTCTACTCTCTCTATCTCTCTCTATCTCTATCTCTCTTATCTCTCTCTATCTCTCTCTATCTCTCTCTATCTCTATATCTCTATATCTCTCTATCTCTCTCTCTCTCTCTCTCTCTCTCTCTCTCTCTCTCTCTCTCTCTCTCTCTCTCTCTCTCTTTTTATTATTTTTTTTACCACTTTTCCCATATCTTGCCAAGGTTGGGTGATCAAATGAAGGAAATACATTCAGCTTAGACCTTTCAGTTCAAATAACTTTCCAAACTGTGACATCTTCACCTATTCTTCAAAGTTCAATTACTGTATTTTAGTAAAACCTCTCATTAACGGATTTTGGCATTTTCAGTTAAAAAAAAAATGACCAGGAAAATGTTGGAAGTATCAGACAAAATGGTATGAAGTCTGTAATTCCTGATTTTGCCAATTAGCATGTTTCTATTATTGATGACTTACCTGGAGTTCACCTGGAGAGGGTTCTGGAGGTCAACGCCACAGTGGCTTGGTATGAGACCAGGCCTCATGGTGGATCAGGGTCTAATCAACCAGGCTGTTAATGCCAGCTGCACACAAAATGATGTACGAACCACATACCAGTTGGTCAAGTACTGACTTTAGGTGCCTGTCCAGTGCCTTCTTGAAGACGGCCAGGGGTCTATTGGTAATCCCCCTTGTAATTTTTTTTATCTCAGTTAATATATTACCTAATGAATTTATACTTCATGTGTGTACCTTATATGTATGTATAAAGAGCATATATTAATCTGGTAAAGATTGATGAAGAACTATAGAATTTATTTTTTACATTGTGTTAGCCGTGATGGTTGTCAGACGTGGGAGAGGAATGGAGGATGAGTGGATGGATAGCCACCAGCCAATAAAGGACTCAGACCTTGGGAGAAGAGCTGGAATGGATGGGGGGGGCAGGGGGGCTTCCCTGTAATTTTTTTCTTTTTGCAAGGGAGAGATTGTTGGTGATCTGTACTTAGATTTATTATTTGCATTGTGTTTTGAGTGATAGGGAAAGATGAGTGGAAGGGAATTGCTGGTATAGGTAGAGGAGGGGGAGTCTAGGAGAGATGTTCCTTTATAAGACATGTTCATTCTTGTCTTCACTGCCTTCACCCACCTGTCTACCCACCCACCCTCTCCCATTCACCCATCAGTCTACCCACCTACCCACTTTCTTCCATTTGTCCACCTATCTTCGAGCCCATCCTCTATCATCCACCTGCCTACCCACCCTCCCATTCATCCAGTTATCTATCCACCCACCCTCTCCCATTCATTTGGTTATCTATCCACTCACCCTGTCCCATTCATCCAGTTATCTACCCACCTGGGGTCTTCCCCTATGGGTTTCTAGATGGTGGGGAAGTGTGCCAGGGCTCATCCTGCTCCTCGGGAATGGTGTAGTCGGCCATTGGCAACAATGGTGGTCAGACATGCACCATAACAAATTACACTCAATTAAACCACTTTTGGATTTGTGGCCATCTTCTTACCCCTGTTGCCATACTCGGGGGACTGCGCTCTCCCTCTCCGCATCGGCCATACTCTCCTTACCCATGGGTATCTCATCATTTACCAGCGAGCTCGCGGGATTTACCTCCACCGACGCCGCTGCCCTACCACTCTTGCCTTATCTTTCCTTTCTTGCAGATGGTTCTGCCTTTGACTTACAATCACTTTTTGACTTTTTGTCAGCAACTGCTTTACTATATGAACTTTGACACATAGACCCTAGCGTCCCTTCCAGGCCTTTTCTTCCCTCACCTCCGATCCCCTCTCCACCTAGCTGTTTATAGCCCCGGCACTATTTTCTGCCCCACAGCGCTGCATAACCCTTGTCGGTTTAACGCTTTATTTGATTATAATAAATTTATATGGCACAGGTCTGATGAGAATAAAAAGCATGTTAGGGGAGTCTAGGAAAACACTGACTAAGTTAGATAAATCACGGAATGGGTGGAGTTTGAACCCATGAGTTCAATCCCCCACTCGTTCCATGATCTGTTTGCAATCGTGTTATTAGGATTTTGTGAGTCACAATGGCGGTTTTGAGGGGACTTGAGCTAGAGTTCGCCACAGTCACACAAGTGCGAGATTCATGTGTAAAAACTTGTTTTTGTGGTGGCGCATGCGATCTTCCCTATGGTGTATAGAAATATACCTAGTTGGGTAAAACTTATTAGGGTCAGCTAGCCTGTGAGTTTTAGGACTCACTCGCCATGGGTTCAAACCCCACCCGTTATGCGATTTGTTTGGAACTGTGTTATTACGATTTCGTGAGCCATAGTAAAGCCAGATAACAACACATACATAGACAAGGGTGGTGGTGTTTTATCCAGGATAACAATACTGACATTGGCGGTGATAAGAACATAAGAATGGAGGAACACTGCAGAAGGCCTACTGGCCCATACAAGGCAGGTCCTTATCAAAACAACCTCTATCCAAAGCTACCCAAGAATTTACTCCCGTACCCAATGACACCAATCAAACCCAGCCCCTCCCACTCATATATTTGTCCAATCTCTTTTTAAAGCTACCCAAGTGTTGGGAGGGTTCGTGGAGATGTGATGGCTGGAGTTAAACACAGTCGTTGGATGGTAACACTTATATTAGCAGAGTGTGAGAGGGACAGCTCGGTCATGCATGAGGTCGACACAATGTCCGTCATCGGCTGACAGAAGTTATCTCCATACATCTATGTAAATATCAAATTTGATAAATTAGATTATGTGCAACTCTTGGGTATCTTTACTGAGGAAACGTATCACTGATATCTCAGACACCGTATAGGCCTAACCTGCACACTAAAATCACTCCATATGAAAGCAAAAACTCAGCAGGAGATGTAACATTCCCCCAATGAAAAGCAGGGGCACCAAGAGTACACTGAGAGACAACATAATAAGTGTCTGGGGCCTAAAACTGTTCAATTGCCTCCCAGCATGCATAAGGGGGATTACCAATTGACCCCTGGCTGTCTTCAAGAAATCACTGGACAGGCACCTAAAGTCAGTACCTGACCAACCGGGCTGTGATTCGTACGTCAGCTTGCGTGCGGCGAGCAGTAACAGCCCGGTTGAATCATAAGACATAAATTTCACAATTCGGAAGTTGTGGATAATTGGCAATATTGTACACCCTTTCCCTTCTATTTGTCTCTCAGTGAGAGGTTTTACTGTGCTTTTCACCTCCAGAATTCCAATCTGGTGTATGTGGTTAAAACAAGAAAAAACACAGTCTTATAACTGTACCTTGGTTTAAAATTCATTGGGGCTAACAGGAGAGGTAAACATTTGTTGGTGGTGGCTTCGATAATAAGATCTGAATTGTACAAGAAACATATATTAACGAATTATACATTGTTTGTACTGTTGTAAAGAAATGGGGTGCAGTATAACATTTGCGATAATTATTTTTTAAATTGCTCTGATAGGATATATTAAAGTAAACACAAACGATTGACCTAAATTTGTCTTATGATATAGAGGAATCTTTTTTGTTTAGGATGATCACTTTTATCTTAAAATTGGGCTTAATATCCTTTTTTTTTTTTTTTTTTTTTTTTTTTTTTTTTTTTTTTTTTTTTTAAGAAAAAAGATATTTAATTGGTGACATTTGCTACATTAATGTACAAGGTGATGGGGTGATTATGTTTAAGTCTAGCTAGATAGCACCTGAGCTCTGCACCCGGTTAAATGGTAGAAAGCTTATTAATCTTTTAGATAATTTTTTAAGTTTATAAATTATTATTACTTCATTATTTAGTAAAAATGTTTTCCTTGCTCTTTATGATTGCCATTGTTCAATATTTATGGAAAATACGTTATGAGCTCACTGAAATTTTAAATTTGGGTATTATAGGGATAAGAATAACATTCTTCTTTGTTTATTCTTAGTTATTGTCCTGAAGTCATCTTGGGAAAGGTGATGGGATTGCTTTATTTATTGAAGGTGGAAGATATTTCTTTGCATGCTTCTTTGTTAATTGCTTTTCATTGTATAAGTGGTGCATCAACTTCAAATTTCAGCATCAGTCTGATGTAGAGCAGCAAGTACAGCAGGCACAAGTGGAGAACATAGATAGCAGTGTCAGCAGTAACTGTGATTATCGGCAGACTCAAATCAGTGTAGAAAATTCTAGTGGACGGAGTATTGGCTCTATTAATAAAAATCAAGAGGGCAAAGGCTCATCATGGAATGATATAAATCATGAACAACGAAGATCAGGTAAAGACCTTGCTAATGGTCATGACAGCAGGCCAGCTCTGGACTCCAAACCAGCACAGAGAAACTCTCATCAGCTAATCCATCAGTCAAGTGATGGTGATTTAAGTCAAAGAGCTCACAGAAGAAATGAATCTGATTCAAGACTAGGATTGTTAAGAAGACAGCACACAGATGTGGCACTTTCTCGTCGATCAGATATGTATCGTAGCAGCAAAGTGGAGTTATCTTTTCCTTCTGCTCGCTCAGAGGTAACAACCAGTGTGGCTGGTGAACCTGTTCTTACAGATTTTATGGCTATGATAGGAGATGAGCATCAGCGAATGCCAGATGAGCATGGGCGTAAAGAATTGCGTCGTCAAGTGTCTCTGGATGGAGACCTACATGCTATTGGCTCTGTCGGAGGTGCTAGTAGTCGGGATCAAGTCAGACACGAATGGAACCAAAGACGAGAAAAGACAGATGTGGATCTTCGACGGGCCGAGTTGCGCAATGAGTTGGAACAGCGGCGTGTGACTCCCCAGGGAGGACGTGGCCGTGACAGCGTGACCAGTCAACAGCAAGGGCCAGCCCACCAGGTCAGCTGGTGTGGACACACATCATCACAAACATCATGCATGTCAAATACTGCTACCACTAGCAAAGTGACACGCATGGGCCTCTCCGTGACACAATAGTTAGGCGTAATATGAACTGTTGTAAGACCTTAAGTGCTACTAACAACCAGACTGGACTTTTGAGAATCCAGAGGGCAGATATCCCTCATTGTATATATCTAACCCTTGAGTCGCAATTATGTTAATGTGGTTTTGAAACTAATAATAAACAACTAACCAAGCTTTGTTTTACTGAAGTACAGTAGTACATTGTGCATGGTGTAGTTGATTCTCTATTTGCATCTCATCAGTTACTTCTGCTGTCTTTCAGAAACTTGTATGCATGAAGATTATAAAATTTTTGGTTAATACAGTTTAAAGTAACAATGAACTTTGGTAAAAAAAAAAAAACTTGCCAATTTATTTTTTGTGCAACCTTGCAGAACTTATGATGTGTTTTGTGCATCATCCTTCTTAAAAACAATTATGCATTTAATAATTTATTAAAGCTTTTTAAAATATATACCCGTGGGCTATTTTAAAATAGTGTAATTCACAAAATGTTGATGTTACTTGCTTAAATTAAATGATTATTAGCTTGCAGAATGTGACTGTTAGTGTTGACTATCAGAAAAACATCATCATTTAAAGTTTATATGAATACTTTATATGATGGCTTTTAATTATAGGTAATTTTTTTTTTAAATATTGTTAGAGCTCACTATTTTGCAGGAAACTTTTTAAAGTGTTTTGAATGCTATGACAGTTGTGTGTTTTAAGCTCTTAACTGAGTAGACATAAAACATTAGCATCACAGGGCTTTGGGTGTCTTCACTGCAGTCTTTTTTTTTTTTCTTTTTGGTCTAATACTACTTTGATAACTATAGTATTTCTGAAAAGTTGAAAATATTACTTTTAATAATTTAAATAATTTTGATAATGTAAATAATTTCAAGTTAAAGGTTACCAGTAAATTCATTAAATTCTATTGTTTTAATTTAAAAAAAAAAAAGTATCTGGAGCTCAATGTCTTAAATTTTATCCTTGTATTGATATTTTTTCCATAAATTAATTATTTTACCAAATATAATACTTGATTATATATTTCTTAGTATAATATTATGAACTTCTATATATAAAAAGGCTCTTTTAAATTTTGTAGTTTGAACACAAGTTCAATGAATTAAAAAAAAACTTTATGTAAACACTCATATATTACTCACAATATCTTTAATCATCTTATGATGATTTCACTGCCTCATGGAACTAGGAAGTGGGATAGAGATGAAGTGGCAACATGATTCATTTTTTTTATTCAACCCTAGCAAATTAGCAAATAAGTCTACAGACATAAAAATAAGGGCAAACCCAACTTCTGATTGTTAATGAATTATTCCTTAATTTTATTTTAAAGCACCACCTGATTTTTTAGCTGAGGTAGGCTGACCCCCCCCCCCCCCCCCCCCAAAAAAAAAAAAAAAAAAAAAAAAAGGAACACTTTTACCATCACTCTACTATCTTGCTGGAGGCATGCTAACACTACAGCTTGGATGCCCTCCCTGACCACAATAACCCCCCCCCCCCTCTAGAGTGCAGGGACTATACTTCCCTCCTCCAGGACTCAAGTTCGGCTAATCTTTTTCACTAAATCCCTTCATAAATGTTACCCTGGTCACTACAATAGCATGCCAAGTCATAAAAACCACTTGCCTTCACTCTTGTCTAACACACACATGCCTGTTTGATTTTGAAGCCCCTTGCATACAAAAACCTCCATTACCCCCTCCCCCCATCCCTCCAACCTTGCTTAGGAAGACCCATACTCCTTCCCTCCATTAAAGATTTATACACCCTACCCTCCAAGTCATTCTGTTTTCCTCCATCCTCTCTAAATGTCCAAACCACCTCAACAACCCCTTCTGGATAATATTTTTAGTAATTCCACACCTCCAGATTCCAAATTCTCTGCATTATGTTCACACCACACATTGCCCTCAGGCACAGCATATCCACTGACTCCAGCTTCCTCCTCATGGCACTGTTTAAAACCCATGCTTCACATATACAAAAGAATGTTCGTACCACTATACTCTGGTACCGTCGTCCTTTTTTTGTCCCCACTGATGCCTCAATGTGCCACCCACCTTTTTTTTTTTTGCTCATCAGTTCTGTGGTTCATCTTATTTTTCATTGACCTGTCTGCCAACAAGACCACTCCTAGATATCTGAACATATTGGCAGTTTGGAGAGATATATTGTGTATTTTTATACGTATATACTTCTAAGCTGTTGTATTGTGGGCACCTCTGCAAAAACAGTGATTAAGTGTGAGTGAGGTGAAAGTGTTGAATGATGAAAGTATTTTCTTTTTGGGGATTTTCTTTCTCTTTGGGTCACCCTGCCTCGGTGGGAGACGGCTGATTTGTTGGAAAAAAAAAAAATTAATTCCTTCCATACTCTCTCCTTTCCATCTGATATTCAGTCTTTTGTTTCCTAAGCTTTTTGTTACTCTAATCATCATGCTCTTTCCTAGGTTCACTTTCAATCTTCTTTTATGTAGCATCCAAAGTTTGTTTTCCAGTTTTAAGGAGAGCAGATGATAGAGTGGGAGAGGCTCTGTCAAGAAATTTTAATGAAAATAAGAAAAAATTTTGGAGTGAGTTAAACAAGTTAAGAAAGCCTAGAGAATGAATGGATTTGTCAGTTAAAACAAGAGTAGGGGAGTTAGTAGGTGGGGAGATAGAGGTTTTGGGTAGATGGCGAGAATATTTTCAGGAACTTTTAAATGTTGACGAAGAAAGGGAAGCAGTAATTTCATGCACTGGCCAGGGAGGTATACCATCTTTTAGGAGTGAAGAAGAACAGGATGTGAGTGTGGGGGAGGTGCGTGAAGCATTACATAGAATGAAAGGGGGTAAAGCAGCTGGAACTGACGGGATCATGACAGAAATGTTAAAAGCAGGGGGGGATATAGTGTTGGAGTGGTTGGTATTTTTGTTTAATAAATATATGAAAGAGGGGAAGGTACCTAGGGATTGGCAGAGAGCATGTATAGTCCCTTTATATAAATGGAAGGGGGACAAAAGAGATTGTAAAAATTATAGAGGAATAAGTTTACTGAGTATACCAGGAAAAGTGTACGGTAGGGTTATAATTGAAAGAATTAGAGGTAAGACAGAATGTAGGATTGCGGATGAGCAAGGTTTCAGAGTGGGTAGGGGATGTGTAGATCAAGTGTTTACATTGAAGCATATATGTGAACAGTGTTTAGATAAAGGTAGGGAAGTTTTTATTGCATTTATGGATTTAGAAAAGGCATATGATTGACTGGATAGGGGAGCAGTGTGGCAGATGTTGCAAGTATATGGAATAGGTGGTAAGTTACTAAACGCTGTAAAGAGTTTTTATGAGGATAGTGAGGCTCAGGTTAGGGTGTGTAGAAGAGAGGGAGACTACTTCCCGGTAAAAGTAGGTCTTAGACAGGGATGTGTAATGTCACCATGGTTGTTTAATATATTTATAGATGGGGTTGTAAAAGAAGTAAATGCTAGGGTGTTCGGGAGAGGGGTGGGATTAAATTATGGGGAATCAAATAAAAAATGGGAATTGACACAGTTGCTTTATGCTGATGATACTGTGCTTATGGGAGATTCTAAAGAAATATTGCAAAGGTTAGTGGATGAGTTTGGGAGTGTGTGTAAAGGTAGAAAGTTGAAAGTGAACATAGGAAAGAGTAAGGTGATGAGGGTATCAAATGATTTAGATAAAGAAAAATTGGATATTAAATTGGCGAGGAGGAGTATGGAAGAAGTGAATGTTTTCAGATACTTGGGAGTTGACGTGTCGGCGGATGGATTTATGAAGGATGAGGTTAATCATAGAATTGATGAGGGAAAAAAGGTGAGTGGTGCGTTGAGGTATATGTGGAGTCAAAAAACGTTATCTATGGAGGCAAAGAAGGGAATGTATGAAAGTATAGTAGTACCAACACTCTTATATGGGTGTGAAGCTTGGGTGGTAAATGCAGCAGCGAGGAGACGGTTGGAGGCAGTGGAGATGTCCTGTCTAAGGGCAATGTGTGGTGTAAATATTATGCAGAAAATTCGGAGTGTGGAAATTAGGAAAAGGTGCTGAGTTAATAAAAGTATTAGTCAGAGGGCAGAAGAGGGGTTGTTGAGGTGGTTTGGTCATTTAGAGAGAATGGATCAAAGTAGAATGACATGGAAAGCATATAAATCTATAGGGGAAGGAAGGCGGGGTAGGGGTCATCCTCGAAAGGGTTGGAGAGAGGGGGTAAAGGAGGTTTTGTGGGCGAGGGGCTTGGACTTCCAGCAAGCGTGCGTGAGCGTGTTAGGAGTGAATGGAGACGAATGGTACTTGGGACCTGACGATCTGTTGGAGTGTGAGCAGGGTAATATTTAGTGAAGGGATTCAGGGAAACCGGTTATTTTCATATATGTAAAGTAAAAGGACACAAGTGCAACTAATGTGACATTTATTGTGGCAACGTTTCGCTCTCCAGGAGCTTTATCAAGCCATTACAAACAATACATGGACACAGAGGGTATATAAAGGCTCAGAGTGAGGTGAATACTAGTGAGGTACCATTTCGATGTTCACTAGTGGTAGTAGTAGTAGTAGTGGTAGTGACAAAAGTAATACAATATGGTAAAGCAATTAATTCGTACATGAGTAAAAGGATATAAAAGCTATTACTTGGGTAACATAAAAATAGGTTGGACAAATATAAACTGGAATGAGGCAGCTTGTTTCAGTGTTCACTCTCTGTGCTTTGTGTAGTATAACAGGAGAGACTATGTGATGGCAGGGTTTACTGTTTTCAGGAGGATTCTTGCTAAGACTTCGGAGATGGTGAAGCTGCCGTTGTTTTGTTTAATTGTATTCGAAACAGCGATCAGTGCTGATTCGAGGCACTTGCGTCTGCGGAAATTAGTTTCTTTGATCACTAATTGGGCGTCTCT